ACAACCAACTCGTACAAACAGGTTTTAACAACATCCAAACAGAGTCCTCAGGAAAAAACAACAACACAATGATAATTTCCCACAACAACAACCCCAATATTACCATATTAGGCAACACACCTTATTCTAGAAATGATGACACATCCAAGCCTCCAAACAACAACAACAATACAACAACAAATACCTATAGCTAACCATACCCAGCCTAACTCGGACACCACTCAACAAGAAAACCCAGTAGATACTGAAATGACCATCCCTATTACTGAACTAGAAAGTATACAAACCAACACCAAAATGGAAACAGACATAGCCTCAACCATTTCTGCACACCAAGATAGCTCTAACACACTTACATACAGCCAAGTGACTAGACAAAACTTAATCAGCAATACAATGCAAATCGACGAGGACCCAACCCAAAAATGGCTAGAACACATACATAAAGAGCTAACAAGAGAAATTACACAGCCTTTTGATAGCAATACATGGCACTATGACAAACTGATTATCAGCCTTCAATCTAGTGAGAGTCTACAAGATTTCATCAAATACAAGATAGCAACCAAACCTACTCAAAAGCAAATCCCCCCAGGCATCTCTGCCAAATTTAAGCACTTAGACTGGGCATTTTTCCTTACCTTTACTAGGGCTAAACGCTTTATACCACAACATCAAACAGAATATGAAGAGATGTTCTACAGTGCACTACAAAATTATAAAAAAGCAAATCAAATCACAATAACTAACAAAGACATAAGAGATAGCATTTATCAGAAACTTCAGCAAAAGTTATTTCTTGACTTTATAATGAATACCAATTTCAACACCTGCCCTCCCAGATATATCACACAACTAATCAAATACTACAAGGGATACATTAAAGATACAACGCTAAATAAATATGAAGAAATTCAAAAGGCAGTCCAAGAGGCCTTCTCTGAAAAACTTCAACAACTACCAAGTCACCCAGATGATATCTCAGAGAATATACAACAAATATTACCTTTTACTCTACCTATAAAAAACAAAGCTCATACTAAGGCAGTGGTTACTGCACTTCATCGTATATACCAATTTGACCAACTACCCGAGGAGTACTTTGCAAACCTAGACCCCCTTCTAACTAACTTGGCCAATCTTCATCCAGCAGTAAGAAACCTATTCCCAATCACTGATAGAAAATGCTTTAGAGAATTGGGCAACTACAAAAGAAAACTCAGCCAATACTATGAGGTTAAAAAATACCATCAAACTACTTTGACCTACCACCACCCAAAGTTTGCCTACCTTTGGCATATCAAGACCTTAGCCATAAATATAGAAGCTACTTCCTACTAGACCCAAACGATTGCCATGGCAAATCTCAAAGAATTATAGAAGAACTATGAGAAGAATATTCCTTCAAAAACCTGCCTAATGACTACTATCAGGCAAACTTCCTCTTCCTAAGAACCCAAACAAAATTAAAACTATGAAGACCTATACATTCCCAATTAATGACAAGCAAGATGCTATAGAATTCATTATTGATATAGGATAGAATTATAAATTTAACCTGCCAATATCTCTAGAAATCATAACCGTCAACCCTACCGAAAAGCCTAACCTCTCTGAGAACCCAGAGCAAATCACAGATTACAGCATCCTAACACCTATCACCTCAACAAAGACTCTAACAGATGTAGTCAAACTACTGAGAGAATCTTATTACTTTCACCGTATTCCTGACTTTTGGATAGAAATCAACTCTAAAACTACAGAAGAAATTAACCTAACAGACATCCCACCTATTAAACCGACAATACCAAATGAGCTGGACGAAATCTCAAGTCATCTAAAAAATAATAATATAGATACAACACAACTGTCCCTTCCTATCACTGACCAAAGGAACGTCTCTGAAACTCTTGGAATATTGCACCAGCACTTTACAATCAAAACTATACCCAACTCTATTCTAGCACTCCCACCTCTCCCAGAACCTACCTGGAAAATTTTCTCGCAATAATTATGACCTCATCAAGTAACAACAAATCTGTGTATAACACAGCAGCACCTCAAATCAATTTAACCACAACAGCATCAACAACAATAGAACATACAACAGATTATAAACATAACATAGCTCCACCTATAAAGGACAAAATCATAATTGCTACACATAACGTACAAGGCCTAAACACAAGACTTAAAACACAACTATGGCTTGAATTCTGCAACGCACACCAGTTTCATATAATTAGCATGACTGAGACAAAGCTGGCTGCATCCACATATACTAACTTACAGACTAGCAACCCTTATTATTACATCTATACCGCAAACTGTGATACTTCAACAGCAAAAGCCTAGGAAGCAAGTATGGGAACAGCAATCACTGTTACAAAACCACTCCGACCCTACATTCACAATATTATTACATGGCCTGGTACTGCTATCGCAATCGACTTCTTTTTTCCCAATCACAACAAAACTCAGATCATATCAGTATACCTACCATCCAACAACAAAGACCTCAATCTTGAAACACAAAAAATAGTGATATAATGGATAGAACAAGCCAATAAGAACAACTATCACATTATAGTACTGGGAGACTTTAAAATGACCGCAGCAAACAATCAAAGAGTATTCCTGTTTTCCAAACAATGCAAACAACCAGGCTTACCAGTTCACTCGAGTACTTTAATATTACCACACCTACATGGTGCAGACAAAATATGCATAGCCAAATAGATGACATATGGCTACCTGCTTACCTTGTGCATGCCTTTACTTGCCCCATACTTTATGCAGCAGACCTTATCACAAACAGCGACTATAAAATTATCAGTATAGAATGAAAATACAATCCTAAAATTAAAAATCACTCAGCAAAAAAAAGGAAAAAGACAATATACCAGTATAACCAAATGACAGAAGTCTTATGGGCAGAATTTGCTCAAACAGCAACAAACCAGATTCACAAAAGTAGCATTGCAAACCAACAGATAACAGATTCTAAAACCCTTAACAAACACTGGCATGAATTTTACACAGTGATCAAATATGCAGCGATGAAGCACATACCAACAACCACAACCTCATCTAGAACCTTTTATGCTTTCTCAACCAAGGCTACAACACTATACCACACCCTCAAAACAATTAACAAACTAATTAGAAAGCTTAGCAATAACACACATACCAATTTAGATACACAACAAATCAACCTAGATATCCAACTTATAAACAAACACAGTGAAGTAGCAATTAATCCTGTAACAGATAACGTCCTAGCAAAAGATAATATCAACGCTACTATACACAAACTCAAAGCAGTGCAAAAAACAATTTATCATACGAGAAAGATAGAAAACAACATTGCTCATACACAAACAATAAACCAGCACATCGAACATAGAAATGACAACTTTGCTAAAAACACGTCTAAGATGATCGACAGCATACTGAAGAGACATTCAGACCCAGTAGTCCTTTACAACATATGCATACCAAATAATATTATTACAGACCCACCTCAGATTAGAAATCATATACAGACCCACTATGAAAGATGGATGAAACTTAATCCCGCAGACGATCAGCTCTGGAACATATGGCAACAAGAATACGAACCAATATCCAATATACAAGACTCATGATACAGGGATCTCTCAGATACAATCTCTATAGAAGAACTCAACACAGCTATAAAAGAAGCACCAAACAACAAGGCCACTGGACCTCAAAACATATCAAATGAAATGTTAAAGCATCTAGATACTACTACGCTCTCAACACTACTTAATATCTACAATGCCTGTCTAAAATTACAACAAGTACCAGTCCTATAGAAACACAGTCGCATATACCCAATATCAAAAAAACAAACCTTTACCGGACACCTAGAATATATAAGACCTATTACACTGATAGAACACTCCAGGAAAATACTCACAAAAATAATTACAAAGAGACTCAACAAAACACCCAATTCTCAATACTAACAACTATGTCACACTACCTAACACATCCACAACACTACCCATCATGATGCTAACACATATAATAGAGGAGGCCAACAAATATTCTAAGGAACTCTGGGCCCTATCCCAGGACATGTCCAAGGCATATGACTCTGTCTATATTCCACTACTCAAAAAAGCATTAGCTAGGTTCAAACTACCAAATGCAATCATAAACTTAATCATAGACATATTCACTAATAGACACAATACAGTAATAACTAATCATGGTACCACAGAGCCATACTCAGTACATGATGGGATCGATCAAGGCGAGACTATTACGCCCTTACTCTGGTGCATATACTATGATCTACTGCTAACACGAATTACAAGAGAACACACAGGCTATACTATAAATACAACCTTTAACAAAAACAACAGAACCCAAAAGACAGAAATCAATCATTCCGTTTTGGCCTACATGGATGACACGATATAGATTGCACAATCAAAACAACAACTAGAAGAAATTCTTGTTACAGAAGCAACCTTTTACAGCTTCACTAATATACGAGTAAATCCAAACAAGTCCATATTAGCTACACTCAACCATACCAATCCACCTAGTATTACCTTTAACAACATCACCATAGAAAGCATAAAACCTAAACAAGCATTCAGATTCCTAGGTTGCTGGTACTCAATGTCAAAAAAGCCAACTCCAATACACAATATCATAACAAATGAAACAACAAATGCACTTACAAAGATCAAAAAAGCAAAAATCTCTAATAAACAAACAATATATATCATCAACACAGTAATTTTAACCAGAATTAGTTATAGAGTTCAAAATACAACACTGCCTCCTACCCTTTGCACCAGAATAACAAACAAATATACAAACATCGCAAAACACAAAGCAGGCCTAGCTATATCAATTCCCAACTCAACTATCTTCCATAATGCGATATACGCCTTAAAAACCATTGAGGATATTCAAACACAACAGAATATCTCCCTCATCCTATACCAGCTCAACCACCCAGATTTCCACAAATCTACATTCAAAATAAGGCTTCAGCAATTACAACATGCAGCTGCAACTACCAAGTCTATTTTCCAGCATCAAGATTATATCATAGCTCAACCAGACACCTTTCACCATCAGTGCAGATGCTAAAAAGTTTACAAAATATACAAATAACATTTGAAAACCAAAGCAACAACTGGCCAATACCACTACCAAACTCAGAACACTTAATCAACATGATTCTACACCTGCTTAAAGGTCCACACAAAATCAAGAAAAGCCTAACCTCTCTGAGAACCCAGAGCAAATCACAGATTACAGCATCCTAACACCTATCACCTCAACAAAGAC